CTTCTTATTTGAATGTTGGTCAATAACTGGGTACAAGTAGAGTGCTGAGGTAAAACACTGATGAACAGTTTTATTTTTGTATTTCTTTTTTTTTTTTTTAAATAGTAACAGTTGAAAGCTACACTGTATTCTGAATAAGCATTATTATAAATATTATTTCTTCCACTTTTCAAAACAGTGGAGAAAGGACACAAAAATAAAAAAATACCTTCTCTGCTCTAAACTAGAAAAAAATTGGGTTCTAGCACGTGCTCCTGACAAGTTCTACCCTGAATCTTTCCTGGCTCAACAGGAAAAGCAGCGCTTTTCACGATTTTTAAGCCTGTGATGTGGTGAAACATTTCCCAGTTCTTTTTTTTGCGGTAATAATGTAAAGAAACTGGAACCATTTGAATGCATTTGATTTCTTCAACTGTCCAAAATAGCTTTTTGGTGAAAAACATAAACAGACAAAATCAGAGCAGTAAGTGAACCCTTGGTTCATTATTCAAATAATAATTTTACATATATATATATTTAAAAAAATTCAATGATCAATAAATTGGAAAACCATTAAACCTTCACATATGACTGAAGAGACTTTTGTTTCATTTGCTGGTAGCAATCTATCTTTTAGTCACATGCAAAACTAAAAGGTTTTCAAATGTAATCAATACATGAAAATTGTTTACAAATGGAAATCAGAAATGTTGCCAGTAACAAAATAAAACAAAATACTTATGGCCCCCCAAAGATGTTTGACTCACACGTAATTTGTCTTCCTAAGAATCTGTTCAGGCACCATTTATGCCTCATAGCAAAAATTTGTTTATAAAAAAATTAATATAAGAAGCATTACAACACTTTATAAATAATTTACAAAACATAATACAAAATTAGAAAACTGTAAAAAAAATCACTGCACATGAATGGTTTTAAGACTGTGGGATGAACATCATTTTTTCTTCCAAGCTGGCGATTTATATTTATTTTACATTTTCGCTGTCCTAGTTATATCCTTCCGATATGTACTCTGGAACAGAAAAGAGCTTATATAACTGCTGCCAGCATATTTTTAAACATTTAGTATCTTTCATACACTGTTTAGTTAACTTTTCTTCTTGGGGGATCTTTCTTCACAAAATTTAGAGCAGTCCCTGGGAGAACTGGAAATTTAGTTTTTAGGCAAAGAATGGTTGATGGTTTTGTTCCCAGGCTGTTGATGGTGGGGGGTGGAGAGGGGGGGTGTACGGTCGCAAGGGTGGCCGAACAGGTAATTGTAGGTGGCATTAACGACGCGACAGTTAGCAGCGTACTGGAGACACGGGTAGGACTTGAGGAGTGTCCGCTTCCAAATATGATCTGTTCTTCCCTGCTTCCCTGTTGGCTTCTGGGTGGTCTCCTGATCGTTATGTAAATTGAATTGCGGCCAGAAGTTTAGGGCTGTTTGTTTACAGATGACATAGATACATCTGTGGATATAGGTATCTATGGATAGAGAGGGAAAAAGAAAACCCAGAGGGGCAGGTGTTGCTGGGAGACTCTCTTTACTTCACGTGCTCAGCTTGGGTAAAGCATCTTTTTTGTCCCTCACAATCTCCCTGTAGTTACTGAGGTGTTTTTTCCCCTGGAAGATATTTACGTATCAACAGTCGGAAAAGAGTCAATAACAATTCTCACGCTCCTCCTCATAAAAGCAATACTGAAAATATCCTTAAACATACCCTGCTGAAGCTTAAAGCCTAAAATGCATTTGCTGGACGTGAGCCCAGCCCGGAGTACTGGATCCTCAGTGCTCTCCAGCCCTGACCTTTGAGAGTGCTCACATTTAGAGGCAGTTTCTGGCACAGATGATGGTCTCTGAAGCCTTAAAACTCCACCAACCATGCAGCAAATACCCCATTCTACAAGGCAAATCCCATCAAAAAAATAGCGAGGGCCAGATTCAAAGCCTAGTGAAGTCAATGGAAGTCCCTTTCTTTCACTAAGTTTTGGATATAGCCTTGAGTTCTTGAAAATTCTGCAAGAGAGGTGTTATTTGAAGACTCCAGCGCTTTGGGAAGCTCCTTCAACGTCCTGGGTAGACCAGCAAAAATCCAGTACAACCACCCTGAGGTCAGCAAATGCAATCAGGAGTTACATCAGCAGAATTTTACTCTACCGCCTCTACAGAGAGCTGAACCAAACTCCCGATGTTATCTTCTGGAAAGTCCCGATCGAGATGCAGCTTCTACCCTAATAATGGGCTGAACCCCAAAGGCTGGAGCAGAACTCTGCAGAAGATGAAAATCGCAGGTGACTTTCACAGGTCAGCCCATACCCCACCCCATCCAGCACCTGCAACACCTTTCTCTCCCTCTGAGCCTCAGTATGGACTCGTAGGTCCAGCGACCACAGTATTTTAGAAGATGCTTGTTCAATCAAAAAGGAAGCCAAGGAGATAACTTGTCTTTAAAGGAAAATCAATTCACCTGAAACATATTGCAGGTGGCCCACCTTACTATTCCCAAAGGACATTCAATGGGT